CCACGGTGATCCACAAGCGCCTGGAGAACCATAGAGAAATACTCCTTCCAATTAACGTACTCGGATCCTAGGTGGGGTGGTGCCAGAATAGGAATGTGCGTCCCATCTATCGCCCCTCCACAGTTAGGGAACCCCATTTGTGCAAAGCCATCCACTATTTCCTCCATGTTACCCAGAGTCACGGTTCTTCTGAGTAGGATGCGATTAATGGCCTTGCAAACTTGCATCAACATGATTCCAACGGTCAACTTTCCCACTCCAAACTGGTTTGCGACCGACCGATAGCTGTCTGGAGTTGCCAGCTTCCAGATTGCAATAGCCACCCGCTTCTCCACTGGCAGGGCAGCTCTCAATCTCGTGTCCTTGCACCGCAGGGTGGGGGCGAGCTCCTCACACGGTCCCATGAAAGTGGCTTTTCTCATCCGAAAGTTCTGCAGTCACTGCTCGTCATCCCAGACTTCCATGACGATGTGATCCCACCACTCAGTGCTTGTTTCCCGAGCCCAAAAGCGGCGTTCCACGGTGCTGAGCATGTCCGTGAATGCCACAAGCAATTTCGTGTCGTACGCGTTACGCGTCTCGATAGTGAGAGTGAGGGTGAGGAGTCCGACGATGCTGTCACTTTGGATCTTAAGGAATAGTTCGACAGCCAAATGTGACGTGCTGGCGAGACTCGTCAGCATACGCCTCAGCAGTTCGGACTCCATTTCCCGCAGACAGATCGCGCTGCACAGAAACCGTTGAAAGATGGCGCCAAAGGTGGACGGAAACAAGGGGATTTCTGGGATGCGAAGTGATGCAATGCATCACGGGGCATTGGGACAGGACCCCGAATCCCCCGCACCCACGCCCCCTTCCCACAACCCACGGCACCAAAATGGGAAAAGGTGCTCTGTGGGATAGCTGCCCATAATGCACCGCTCCCAATAGCGCTGCAACTGCCGCGAATGTGGCCACGACAGTGCGCTGGGCAGGTGTCAGTGTGGACAGACTGCAGCGCTTTCCCTACTCAGCTGCACGAAGTCAGGTTTAACTCACAGCGCTGTACATCTGCAAGTGTAGCCAAGGCCATAGTATACTTAGACTTCTGTAAGGCATTTGACTTGGTATTGCAGGACATTTTGATTAAAAAACTAGAATGATATAAAATTAACATAGCACACATTAAATGGATTAAAAACTGGCTAACCAATAGGTCTCAAAATGCAACTGTAAATGAGGAATCGTCACTGATGGATGTGTTTCCAGTGGGCTTGCATGGATCGGTTCTTGGCCCTATGCTATTTAACATTTTTTATCAATAACCTGGAAGAAAACATAAAATCATCATTGATGAAGTTTGCAGATGACACAAAAATGGGGGAGTGGTAAATATTGAACAGGACTGGTCACTGATTCAGAGCAAACTGGATCGCTTGGTAAACTGGTCACAAGGAAACAATATGTGTTTAATACTGCTAAATGTAAATGTATACATCTAGGAGGAAAGAATGCAGGCCATGCTTACATGATGTGGGACTCTATCCTGGGAAGCACTGACTCTGAAAAAGATTTGAGGGTCATGATGGATAATCAGCTGAATATAAGCTCCCAGTGTGACACCGTGTCCAAAAGAGCTAATGTGATCCTGGGATGCATAAACAGAGGAATCTCAAGTTGAGCAGAGAGGTTGTTTTACCTCTGTATTTGGCACTGGTGTGAACATTGCTGGAATACTGTGTCCAATTCTGGTGCAAACAATTTAAGAAGGATGTTGATAAATTGGAGAGGGTTGAATGACTAAAGGATTAGAAAATCTGTCTCATAGTGATAGACTCAAAGAACTCGCTCTATTTAGCTCAACAAACAGAAGTTTAAAGGAGACTTGATTACAGTCTATAAGTACCTACATAAGGAACAAATATTGAATAATGGAATCCTAAATTTAAACCCAATTTGATGGCTGGAAGTTGAAGCTAGACAAATTCAGAAATAAGACATAAATGTTTAACAATGAGGGTAATTAACCATTAGAACAATTTACCAAGGGTCATGATGGATTCTCCATCGTTGACAATTTTTAAATCAAGATTGGATATTTTTTCTAAAACCGTGGTTTTCAACCTTCTTTATTTCCAGACCCCTAAAAAATGTTGAATGGAGGTGCAGACCCCTTTGGAAATCTTAGACCTAGTCTGCAGAATCCCAGGGGTCCGTGGACCACAGATTGAAAACCATTGTTCTAAAAGATATACTCTAGGAATTATTTTGGGGAAGTTCTACGGCCTGTGTTATACAGGAGGTCAGACTAGATGATCAAAATGGTCCTTTCTGGCCTTGGAATCTACAAACCGCCCCTCATCCCAATTCCTGTTCCCTTTTCCCCTCCTCCTCTGCTCCTGCTCATCCTCTGGTCCCTGAATCCCTCCCCTTCTTCATCCCTCTGCATTCCCACTAGAGTGACCAGATGTTCCAATATTAGGGGCTTTGGCTTATATACACAGCTATACCCCCCACCCCCTGAATTTTTTTTTTTCACATTTACTATCTGGTCACCCTAATTCCCACTGTGGCTTCTTCCTCCTTTTCCTCCACACTACCTAGGCCCAGAAACTGAGAACATTGAGAGAACAAGATAGTCTCCCTGCTCTCAGTTCCAGTGCCCAAGCCCATAATGCCCCCAACTACTGGAGAAGCAATTGAAGGGAAAGTCTTGTGCAGCCTTGCAGCTCAGGGCTTGGAGCATGCTTGGTTGCTTTGAGGGGATGGTACATGTGCAGTCCTGTCACACAGAGGAGCAGCGAGAGGATGGAGCATGCTCAGTGCAGACAATCTTCAGGGAATTTAGCTGCCAAACTCAAACAACTCTCTATTGATCATGTGCCAACTGAAAGGCTTATAACTTGGCCAAATGTGGACAGTTTTTCACAGGGATGGCAAAAATCCCCACAAAAATCACCTCCTGCTTCAAAGAATGGAGGAGCTAGAACTTCTCAACAAATGGGTTGTGAAAATGTTTTTAGCAAAACAACAAAGTTCCCCCTAACCTCATTCAGAAATAGGTGAACTGTTTTAGCTGGGGGAAAAATTTCAGCCTGAGGCAGGTACCTTGCCTGGAAAAGTATAGCCCAAATAGTTGAAGTTTGGCAAAGTTATGATCAACTGAGAACAAGGTCTTATAATGGTATTTATGGGAAGTATCAAGGCAACCTTAACTATAGGTGGCCCTTCCAGTTCCACCTATAATAAAGGAAAGGGGGGAAGGAATAGTGCCATCCTCTGACATCAAAGGGAGGGCGGTGAAGCCAGAGATCAGAGAGTGCACCACCCACTGATGCCACAGGATGAGCAGGAGGTAAGTGATAACTCCATCCACTGATGCCCTGCTGAGGAGATTTCCAAAGGTAAAGGATAGTTCCATCCTATGTTGAGCAGGGTTCTGCCACCACCACATTTGGTTTCTTTTGAGTTTACGTACATTCTAGATATATCCTAATATCGATTTTCCTTTATTTTTCAGTGTTTTCCCCCTCACTAGCATCCACTCCAATTCCCTCTGCCCAAGATACACAGACTGCATCTACTGGCTTTGAACTATCAGCTTTCAACTTGAGTGAAAGACGATACACAATAATGATCCTGACGGTATGGCTGGTTGTCACCACTTTTATAACAGGAATGTCATGTTTTAAATCTCAGAGGAGTTCTGCAGTGAAGGTTACATTGTCGTGTTCTACTGTACCAATTAATGTCTAAAATGTGGGGGAGTTAGAGTACACAAGGGATTTGGGGGAAGTGTTTTAAATTGAAATAAAGTCTCTGAGCTACAGTAGTTAGATTTTTATATCACTCAGGATATAAGACAGGAAAAAAACTAAGTAAACAATGCTTTGACCGAAAGTAGTACCTGGGGTTAACTTTGCTAAAATGAAAGTTCTTGAGATACAATCACAGCGGAGTGCTTCACACCCCCAATGGATTCCTCTCTGAGGGCAGTGTCCAATGGTTAGAGGCTAGGACTGGGAGTCAGTAGTTCTGAATTCTAATACCAACTCTGGCACTGTCTTACTCTGCAATTTACCTCTGAAAAATGGAGATATCTACGTTCCTCACAAGAAAGTGGTTTAGACGTCATTAACTAATAGGGCTGGTCAAAAGAATAGGAATTCTTTTCTACAAAACTTTTTGAACAAACCAAAAACATGTTTGTTTTGTTCAAACTTCTTCATGGGTTTTACTGATTTTTTTTTTTTCTAGAGTGATTTGAAAATAAAATGTTTTTTTTCAAATTTAATGGACTAAAAGAAAAAAAAAAAAATAGTGGAGAAAGAAAAGGGGGAGGGCGACTGAAGATGGAACACTTTCATTTTGATTCAATTCAAATTTATTTTCTCCCCAAATCTAATTAGCAGAGTTTTAAAACAGGGTCAGTATTTGACAGGCTGTGTGCACGAGGGCTCTAAGCTTTGCTAACAGAGGGTCAGGTGAATTGATGCTAGCAATAGGAGGAAACTTTTAGAAAAGTGACCTTGCCTACATGGGGCCTTAGCGATGGTTCCATCAAGTTAGGGTTGAGGTACATTTGTGGGACAATGTGAGGGAATCTTTGTGGCCCCTACCCTTGCTGTGTCACCTGTGTGGCTAAATGGAAGAAGCTGTTGGTCTAATATTGCATTCGCATTCCAACCCATGCAACACAGAGATGTTTATTTAAAGCACTTGGAATTCAGTGCATTTGTCTGGTTAACAAATGCAAATAATGATCGCTTTCATTTTGTAGGATCATGGTAGATTTCAGTACAGACTTTGGGGCAGGGACTTTTTTTTTTTAAATTAGATTATAACATGCTTAGAGCACTCTTGTGTGTTGTCTAAAGCTGCTATCCTGCAAACGCTTGTTCAGGCGACTATCTTTACACATTGAAATCGCAGAGACTACTGACAATGGGGCTAATCATGTGCAGAAAGGACATGGAAGGTGTTTGCAGGACCAGGGCTTAAGTAAATAAATAACCACCTACCATTTCCGTAGCACAATTTGGGTTCAGGAAGAACTCCCTTAAATTCAGGAAATACCCCCCAAGTTGTCCAATTAACAAAAGCAAGATAACTCCATCTGCAAACTATAAGAAGAATCACCTGAGTATTATTTATTAAATTAAAAAAGATTCAAAGAGTTTTACTCAAAGAGATAAATGTTGTTCTATGGAAAGAAGAATTGAGAATATACAGTATAAATTATACAATCTAGTGACTTATTTCCTTAACCCCAATTTATACACAGAATGTCATTTCTATCTATCTAAGCTCATAAATTCCTATTACTGTAGTAGGAATGTACCTACTGTGTGGAGGATAGCAATACAAATGAGCTTTTTGAAATGTCCCATGTTTAAACAGATTTCAAACAAAAATAAATATGCATCACTACATAAAAGGAAATTCCATCTAGGATTCCTGATAGCAATCCCTTCAAAAGCTCCATTCTCGGTAATTAATACTCCAGTCCCCAGCCATACAATGCAAGCCACTGGAATTATTATTGCGTCAAAGGTTTTAATGGTTGCAGTGAAGTGCCAGTTGTAGTCTAGATTTTCCCCACCCTTTCATGTGCATGCCAAGAAGGAAAAGAGCACAAGGAACTTCCCCATCCCAATCTGCTTCCACTTGGTTCACTCTACTCAGAGGCATGGGAGAATCACAATCCCCGCACTCTCACGAGCACAAGGACTGTTTCCCTTCCACTCATGTGCCCCAAGAGGTGCCAGTTGCACCAAAGGGAGGTGGGAGGAGACAGAGCTATAGTTCCACACCTCCTCACTGGAGTGAGCAGGCTGCACCCATCCTCACAGATGGTGCAGTGTGAACTCTTCCCTGGGCTCTGTGAGGGATGTGTCTGATGAGGTGAAACCCTGTTGGAACTCCTCCAGTGGTGGTGGCTCCACATTGTCCCCAGAGCAGGGCTGTGCCTCTGGAACAATCATGCCCTATAAATAAGGCTACGATTTTGTCACAGAGGTCGCGGAACTCACAGGATCCGTGACTTCCAAAGACCTCCGTGACTTCAGCCCTGGTGGCTGGGAGCTGCAGGGTCTTGCCGCCTCCCACAGCAGCAGGGAGCTGTGATGTACCCTCTCACCCTGAGGCAGCAGGCCCCCAACCTCCAGCTCCCTGCCGCTGTGGGCAGGGGGATCCCCGCAGTTCCCTGCCAACCGAGGCAGGGCAGGGGGACCCCAGCAGCTCCCCACGGCGGTGGCAGCAGGGGGATCCCCACAGCTCCCCGCCGTTGTGGCTCGGAGCCCCCACAGGTGGTGGGGTCCCCGGAACTCCCAGCCACTCCACAGTCGCCCAGCTCCTTCCCATTTTATCATGGATATTTTTAGTAAGAGTCACAGACAGGTCACAGCTTCCGTGAATTTTTCTTTATTGCCCGTGACCTGTCTGTGACTTTTACTAAAAATACCCATGAAAAAATCTTAGCCTTACCTATAAATTATGGCCTAGATTTTCAGAAGTGTCTAGTAATTTGGGTGCCCACCTTCAGGCACTTTAAACGGGGCTGATTTTCAGAGGGCTGGAGATCAGCACTTTGTGAAAACCAGGCCTTTCGATCATGTCTTAAGTTAGGCACTCAAAAATCACTAGTCACTATTGACAATTTAGGCCTAATTTTTAAAGATGCTGAGCAACCACATTTCCAACTTAAGTCAATGGAAGCTGTAGGGCAGTGGTTCTCAAAGCCGGTCCGTCACTTGTTCAGGGAAAGGCCATGGCGGGCCGGGCTGGTTTGTTTACCTGCCACGTCCGCAGGTTCAGCCGACCGCAGCTCCCACTGGCCGCAGTTTGCCGCTCCAGGCCAATGGGGGCTGTGGGAAGCGGCACGGGCCAAGGGATGTGCTGGCAGCCCTTCCCGCAGCCCCCATTGGCCTGGAGCAGCGAACCGTGGCCAGTGGGTGCCGCGATCAGCCGAACCTGCGGACGTGGCAGGTAAACAAACCGGCCCGGCCCGCCAGGGGCTTTCCCTGAACAAGCGGCGGACCAGCTTTGAGAACCACTGCTTTAGGGGTTCAAGAGCCTCTGAAAATCAGGACCTATATGACAACAACCTTGGGATGATGTTCCATACAAACCCGTTATTTTCAATTACTTATCATATTGGCATTAAAAATCCTCCCAAATTGACACTTGATATGCCTGAACTCAGGCTATGAACGAATGTGTATATTTGCCAAGTTTAAAAGAGAAATATAGGAATTTTGGAGGTGACAGGGAATATTAACATAACCGACAGACATTTTAACATACAGCTCAAAGAGTGCTACCTGAGAGTCAGCATCATTCACATTTAATCCTAATTTTCCAACATGCTTGTTGACAAATTGCAAAAGCACCTAAAGAATGGGAGGAGGGAAAATGGAATTTTTAGAGAATTCATTAATAATATCTTATAATGCAAGTGTCAATGTCTGTTTAACATTTAAAAGTTACCTTTTTCACAGCATCCAGTTTGTCCGGTGCATGTGTGAATAATTCATCAAAGGCGTCAGCTTCTATGGCAAAATATTCAATAAATGTTCATTAGGACTATCTGGAGTAACTACTAGACCGGTGGTTAAAATAAATTGAACTGGGAGGGGGGATCCCTCCCTGTATAAGCCCAGGAGAAGTCGAGTTGTGGGAGAGTACTGCTCCCCAATATTCTCTTCCCCACTTCATATAAGAGAGAAGAGGGAGCTGTGCTTCCCCTGACTTTAACTCCTGTGTCAGACAAAATTGTTTTTTTTTTTTTTTTATCAGCTTCCCTAATTTTCACAGGCATGGGTTCTCTTAGTTTGTGCTGCCATTAGCATGAGCCCTAGGCAAGCTGAAGTTCCATGGGTCCTATAGTTCATCTCTTTTCATTTGCGCACCTTAACCCTGAACATCTGCAATAAAAATCAGTAGAAAATAAGGGGCATATATTACCATTCTTCAGTACCTGAAATTCCCATTGATATCAGTGGGAGTTTTGCACAAAAACTGAGGGTGAAGAATGGCCATACATTCAGTGATAGAAATATTTGCCCATAATTCTAAATCCATAGATTTGAAGGTCAGAAGGGACCATTAGAGTCTGACATCCTGCATAACACATACCATAAAACCTCACACAGTAATTTCGAGTAACATTACACATTAGAATTAGGGCTGGAAATTGGAAAGAAATTTGGACATTTTCAGTGAAAAATGGAAATGAAATTTTTGTGAATTCCCACCCCTATTTTCTGACCTGCTCTAATGAGAATTGTGTACATCTCCTCACAGTAACCCATGAACAAAATTGCTTTTGCCTGAGATGAACAAAGTTCTCCAACCTGATTAAAATCAAGGGCATTATGCCAGCGTAATTAAGAAGAGACTTTGGCTTCTATGGTGTGGGATGTGAATTGAGCTTTGTTTAGGAGAGAGACTACTCATCAAAATTAGCAGCTATACTACATAAAAAGGCTCCAGTGTTGAGAGCGCGCCACTGGGTCTCATTCTCCCTATTCAATTGTTGGTTCAGTATTGTTAGGAAACAAAGAATAACAAATCAATAGCAGGAATGTGTGTAAATCCTACAGCATTGTCACAAACTAGAGAGCCGCCTTCTGGAGCTAAACTTTCTGTTTTTCTTCCTTTCTTTAAGCAAGATATATTTTTTAAAAATAGATAAAGACTGAAGAGTGAATTAAGGTTTCTTCCTTTGACAGATTAATCTGCATGTTTTCTGCATTGTCTCAGTTTATAAATGAAGACCACTTAATAGAATAGCTGACAAAAAATAAATACATGTTCAATTAAATACTTTGTCTCTGCACTAGCTGTAACTGATCATATGAATTGCACAGAAGAGAATTAAAGCAGCCCCATTTATTCATTGAGGGTGAAATTTGCCCCTTTGCAGATAGCAAGGCTCAAACAGGCCTTGTAAGTCCTCAAAATGGAGCATAAGTGGAATATAAGCCTTTTGCTGGCCCTCTTCACCCAGGTGAATTTCACAATGAAATGTTTTACTTCCCTCAGTAGTTCTGATGGTGCATTCTGCTTTGGATTAACCTGGTTGTTAAGGTCTGTTATCAAGTGATAATAAAGTTTCAAAACATTATTTTGCAAACTAAAGAAAACAGACCTGAATGCAACTGCCAGCAAGTCAGAAGCCCAATTCTGCAGCTATTACACACATGAATAGTTCAACTGAAGTAAATGGGATTCATCTCACATCACCCCTCCATCATTTTGCCACCCTCGATTTTACTTCTCATTGCCAGTATGCCTTTAGGTTCTCCTGTGGGGTGATCAATTGGAACCATGAGGGGCCCAGTTCTGATCTCCTCCCAGTATTATACCATTGTAACTCCACTGACTCTCATGGGGTTAGCCCTGATTTATCATGATGTCAGTGAGATCAGAATTGGATACATACAACTTTTGAAAACAGTATGCAGTAAAGAAACACTGAATTTGGCCTTCAGAGTACTTACTTGACTGGCCTTCTAAATTCTCTCTAAAGATTCAACAACAACAACAACAACAAAAAGAGAATTAGCAAAAACATACAGCAGAACTAATCCAATTTCTAAGCAAAGCATATCTGTGCCATAAGGATCCCTATGAAGCAGGAGACAGAGTACAGAACCTCACTAGTTATTTGCCAGAGGTAGCTTTCCAACAGACAGTTTTATAGTGCACTGTATTTATGTGTTCTTGGAAGAATATAATATTTAATTGGCACACAGACTAATGCACATTTATTTTATAAGCACAGTCTTCCAACGAGCTGCTCATAATACTAGAATTTTAAGTTGTGTTAACATATAAAATATAATAGTTGATGATGGAACTGTAGCAAGGAAAAACTGTTTCCAGTTCATGGCGCAACCTCCATATTTTCATTGTGTCCCATTGCTGAGCTCATGTAATAATTAGAGAATCTCACAAACTGAGCAAGATCAGATTGTACTTTCTTTAGCACCAAAATAAGGAAAAATTGCTGAACTCTGGTAATGTATTAATACAATAGCTATAAATTAGTAATATGTAAACTGGTTTTGTTTTTATACAATTGAACTTTTAACCTCAGATATATAAACCTAACATGCTTGGTTTACTAATTATGTCATTTATCAGGTCTTGCAAAGACCAATGAAAACCAGTAATGGCTCTGCAAGATGAGTAAATGCCTCTACTTCATGCAATAATTCTGTGGCAGTAGCATTTACTAAGCCCTGAAAAAGCTTAAATTACAGAACAGATTGTAACTAAACGGCAACCAGACATGATGTATAACTGTACTTTTTGGTAATAGCAATTTAAAAAAAAATTCTGATCAGGTCAATGTGTTAGTGTGACATATTGGGAATAAGTCAGTATGAACTTATGACTTTCAGTTTGATTTTTATGAACTCTTTGTATGATTACATGCTTATTGATTCTTTCACTGTATGCTGTCATGTTAAAATTACATCTTCCCTCTTTTGCAAACGGTCTGACACCTAAGGGGTTGACTCTCAATAAGGACAATCAATAGTTTAATAACCATGCCCTAAGAGGACAGTGGAGACTACTGGCCAGAGATTACTGACTTACTAATAGCTCTTATCCATGGTAACAAATATAGAGAATGTTGAAGGCCACAGCTAGACTTAGTTGAACACTGATTCGTTGAAATCAAAATGTTTTGATGAAAATGTTGTCAGGAAGGTTTCTAAAGTCCAGGATGGAGTTTTATGAGTGAGTGAGACACACCAACCCACCTCAGAATAGCCAATACCCTAGGGCCACCTAGGATGTGGATGACCCAGGTTCAAATCCCTGCTCCAAACCAGTGACTTAACCAGGGTGAGTGCCCTAACCTCTGGACTATTGGCTGCTATTGGGGCGGTGTATCTTTTTTCTGCCTCTCTTGTATTCATTCATAAAATATTTTGAAAAGTTGCACTTTTGATCTGGTGCAGAACAAAAACAAATTTTGAAATCTGGAAATTTTTCATAAAATGAAATTGTTGCTTTCCAACCACCCCTTGCTACAGCCCATGGAGGACTAGAGGCTGGAATAACCCCAGGGGAAGGCCAGGAAGAGACAAGGTGTAAGAAACGGCTACTACAAGGAGACTTACTTTAGCAAGGGGGTCCAGAACCAGAAGACAAGACTGAACAGAGAAGGGTGTCAGAGGATCCTGGACTCCCTGAAGGACATTGATTAATACCGAAAGAGCTCTCAGGAAGGATGAGGAAATTGAGGGAAGGTCTTGTGTTCAGGCATTTGTTGTTTTAGATCTGAATATCTCTTGTGCTTTGTCTATGAGTAAAGTGTGTCTGGTTTAGAAGTTCCTTTGCAGAATGTGTATGTTTTCCCTTGTTTTAAGTCTCACAATGTCTCAGAAAAGGGAAACTGTAAACCAGGGTATCAACATGGGTGGAATTCTGGGAAGCACATGCTTAAGTTATTGGAAAAACCAAGGCAGAGCCTAGGGCAGCTAGACCATGGGATCCCACATCCCAGCAGGGGTACTAGATAAGGGGTCTGTACCCCAGGAATGTGCCAGAGAATGAACCCAGGAGGCTTAAAAACATGTGGGAATCAAAGGTTGAATCCCATACAGCAGCCTGGTGTCTGGCCACAAACAAAAATTTAACCAGGGCTGTAACATTTCGTTGCTTGGGATATTTTTTTAAATAGCCACAGCCACACTATTATTTTAATAAATGAAGTGATCATTTCAATCCTCCTTTGTTATACAATGTATAAAAAAATGTTTCTTCTCTTACCTGTTCTCTGTGATATATTCCACTGCATTTTCTGTCCTTAATCCTGTTAAGGTACGCTGTTAAAAGGAAAGCCAATATAGAATAATGATGTTTAACTGCAAGGGCTATACAAAGAAATCTGTAGTAGTAAAGGCAACTTTTATTAACAGTTTGCTGCTATAAACTTTAAGTTTAAAATATTCACAAGTGCTTAAGTGACTTAGGAACCTAAGCGCAACTGTCAAAAATGACTTTAGTGACATTGGCGTCTTGTATGGTCAAGATCTAGATCTTCCTGTCAGAGGCTATCCATACACTAAAGCATTTAAAATCCAGACTCTCCTAGATTTAAATGTGTAGAGAGCAAGCCCAAGGCATATGCATCACTTAAGTCCCATGTGCAGCTCTCCAAATAGGGATTAAGCGAGCTTTAAGGGGGATATAGGCCTCGTGCTGTGTTCTATATGCAAGTGAACTTCACCCACAGTTAGAAAACTGACTCAGTGTTCCCAACTTTCACAATTATATCACAAGTTGTGGGATATGTGATGTTTTTCTTAAAGCCCCAGATCCTAGTTTCATGTAACTATGTGAAAATCTGTTTTCACTTCATTACCTAAATAAATAAAATTATAAAAGGTAAGTTCCTAGCCCTCATAGGCATGGAGAAAAGCTTGAAAATGTGACCCAAGTGCACCCTAAAGTCACAAAAATCAGAAAGTAAATAAAACCCCCAAATTTTAAAAGAAAATATCATGATTTTTAGGCCAATCTCAGGATTTTGGGACAAATGAATTTTGAATAGTTTGAGTTATAATCAGTTACAATTTTCCATCCACCAAGAGCAACTCTCCTTTCAGTCTGAATGCCTTTTATTTTACATTAAGTGGAAACAGCAAAAGCATATCAGGAAAGTCTCCATGACAAAGCATTGTGTTTGTAGCCTCTGTAGAATGCTACCTCTGAACTGAACACAAAATGGCTGGTTACTCCTGCAAACAACAGATTTCTAGAAATTAAAAGGTGAATTACACAGAAAACAAAAGCATAACAGTTATACAGTGATATACACCACACTTTTCTTCCACTGTATTTTTTAGTTTCTTGTGAGATCTCTGTAACCCCATGGCAGCAAAGGAAAGAGCCATAATTACCTCAATGATTATTACTTCCACACTAATATTTGAAGGGATAGGCAGATCAGGTTGGAAGTGCTTTGCTATTGCAATCAGAAGATATAATGTGCTCAGTAAGTCCTTCTGGTAGATGGCTGTTTCATGTAAAGAAAGCAAATTATAAGTAATGTGCAAACTCATTACAGCCTAATAGCAATACTTTGCATTCCCATTGTGCCTTCCTGAGAAAGTTCTAGTGCTTTACAACCAAAACATGAAATATGCCTCCAAATACGCTTGTGAGGAAGGGCAGATTAGTCCCGTTTTATAGCTGTGGGAATGAGGCACAGAAAGATTAAAGAGACCTGTTCAGGGTCAAATAGGAAGTCTGTAGTTAGACACAGGAGAACTGGGTTCAGTTCCTGGCTATATTTCAGTGCCTTAACCCCAAGATCATCCTTCCTTTAGCAGCACTTCTTAGCCCACTAAAACCCCAGAACAATATATTTTTATGAGGTAATTTCCTTGCATTTTACTTCTGCACATACAATCAACACTCCATTTCAGCTGGCTCTCTTCTAGTTGTAAACACTGGGTCACAGCTTCCAGAATAACGGCAAGTTTATGTTTCTGTTTTTTTTCCGTCAGTGCAATCTTCTCAACATCCAGCCTGAGAGATCCTAGTTTTTCTGAGATGGAGCATAGTTAAAACAAAACAAAGCAAGATGGATGTGTTTTAACAGCACTGTAGAGACAATACAAAATCATAGCAGAAATACCAAAAAAGTCTCGATATAAGTGATCAGTATAATTTAATAAATTATATAATGCAGACCCGAAGCCCACAATTGGATGGGCACAGGTACTCCCTTGGGTTCATGCAGAATCTCAATGACATCAATAAGGCACCGCACATGGTTCTGATTGCAGGATTGGGGCCACGGGCTACAAGTTAATTTTTAGCCACAAGTGCTCTACACCCTGGGTTTTACCAGTGGGAACTGCAGGAATTTGCCCTGTAGATTGATATGTGTGCTAAGCACATAGCGGTTCATATAAAAAGAAAAATCTTAGTTTATAGTTGTGACACCACAGCCCCAAAGTATAAAAGAAAACCAATCCTATTCACGAGCCTGGTGGCTTCACTATGATTTACGAGATTTGATCAGAAGATTAGGAGGTGAGGGCCAATCCAGTTGCAGTCAAAGCAGAATGGAGAAGAGGGTAAAGACCGCAGTAATTAGAGGGATGGTGGGAATAGTAGACCATAACTTTAGGGTGGGCATTGATTCAAGAGGCCAAACCTTCAACTAGTGTAAAATTGATGTTGCTCCATTGAAGTGAACATAGCCACTTTGATTTACAGCAGCTGAAGTTCTGGCCTGAGGTCTCAGACTATGGCTTTTAAAAAATATAGATATTTATAATTGTAGAGGTGATTCCAGATGGTGTTTATGGTAATATCATAAATCATATTCACTGTCATGGTTTATGATGTCATCAGCACCTCTTGGAGGTGTTATAACCTCAGACTTCAAAGTTAACCTTTTTAGTCTCTATATAAACAACGGAATAAAAAGACTTTCCAAAGGGTGGCAGGGAAGTGTCAAGCACTTGTTCAGGATTGCAATTACCACATATGGTTCACAGTGCAGTGCTCATCTCTATTTGAGTGCAAGAGGCATTAATAATTAGTAAGATACCAGCAAGCAAAGCTGTTCTTACAATTTAGTGTGTTTGGTTTTTATTTTATCTGTGAGCTTCTGCACTGAAGAGCATGCGAGATTTATTAGGGAGCAGAGCTCAAAGAAGCAACTTACCCAAGAGATGATGAAGTATCAGCCCATCAAACAGGTCTTCTTCCAGGCTTTTTACTACTATGTGCTCCTGTTTCAGGGTTGTATTAATCCAATCTATCAAGAGCTGCAGGAAAAAATCAAACAGTAAACAATGATATCATAGAATCATAGAATATCAGGGTTGAAAGGGACCTCAGGAGGTCATCTAGTCCAACCCCCTGCTCAAAGCAGGACCAATTCCCAACTAAATCATCCCAGCCAGGGCTTTGTCAAGCCGGGCCTTAAAAACCTCCAAGGAAGGAGATTCCACCACCTCCCTAAGTAACCCATTCCAGTGCTTCACCACCCTCCTAGTGAAACAGTGTTTCCTAATATCCAACCTAGACCTCCCCCACTGCAATTTGAGACCATTGCTCCTTGTTCTGTCATCTGCCACCACTGAGAACAGCCGAGCTCCATCCTCTTTGGAACTCCCCTTCAGGTAGTTGAAAGCAGCTATCAAATCCCCCCTCATTCTTCTCTTCTGGAGACTAAACAATCCCAGTTCCCTCAGCCTCTCCTCATAAGTCATGTGCTCCAGACCCCTAATCATTTCTGTTGCCCTCCGCTGGACTCTTTCGAATTTTTTCACATCCTTCTTGTAGTGTGGGGCCCAAAACTGGACACAGTACTCCAGATGAGGCCTCACCAATGTCGAATAAAGGGGAACGATCACGTTCCTCGATCTGCTGGCAGATATATCTGTTGTTGGAACAGAAAGTGGGAAAATAAATGGTAATACTTTACCATCACAAGAGTGCACCTTCCTCCTTTGTCTTTTGTTTTGTTTTCATCCTCCATTGAGTCTCTCCTTGTCTTTATTTTATTTTAGTCTTCTCTCTCTCTCTCTCAACACCATGCTCCTATTTTCTCTTTCCAACTCTCTTCTCTCTCCCTTTTCATTTTCTCTGCTCCTCCCCCACATCCGCTTTATTTTCAATTCATCTCACTAAGTGGCATATACACAGTATGAAATGTAACTCTTCTTTGTGTGGTAAAAGAAGGTGCTCAGATTGTTTGTGTCTCCTCTGCTGTGGTTGATAGAATGTGTTTCAGCACTTCAAAATATTAAACGCCTAACGGGTAGAATTCATTCTGTGCAGAAAGCCAGTGAAACCCCCAGGTGAACATGTGTTACGGGTCCTCTTCTGTGCCTGATCCGCAGAGATTATTAGTCTGTTACAGCCCAGCTACAGAGATTTGGCTCTAGCTCAAGCTATGACAGCTCATGCTTTAATTCTGAAGGCCCCCAGGTCTATGGTCATGTCTGTCCCAATTAAACCCTACTTGGAGGGCTTAATTGGTGTATCAGTTTTGTGCTGCTTCTCTGTGCAGGGGTGTATGGAATCCTGAATAAGACTATTTCCCCCTCATTAGACTGTTCTGCAGGCTGAAACATTCCAGTCCATACTGTTACTCTGAAGACATGCTTCTCAAAGAAAAATATATAAAAGAAAACTTAAAAACCCTATGAGAGGTTTGAAAATTCACAAGACTTTAAAAAACCTCTCTGCTCTATATTGATGAGCTCTCAAAGTGTGTGTAATGCACATTCAAAGCCAAGAGATAGCAGGATTCCACTCAGTGAACTGTGGTTATCTTCACCTAATGCCTAGAGTTCAAGTTCTGACGATCCATTGGATTAGTGTAGTTTGAACTGGCAAGCTGAGGGCAGTGGCATAAGCTGATGAACTGCACTGCTGAAAATAGAGTCACAAGCTTCCTGGTTCACCTGTTTTATCTTTTAACAGCCATCTCCCTAGCCTACAGCTTAGGCAACATTGCCTTACCTCTAGCTACCAGGGTCTCCCCAGGCAGCAATACAAAGAAATGTATCTGAAAACCCAGGAGAAAAGAACAGGTAGGGAAAGCAAAAAAGAATAATTGAAGCAGAAGTTTGCTACTAACTTCTTCTTGCTTTAAGCACTTCACATTTTACCTGTAGTTTAATATTCTTGGCAACTGAGATGGCCCATCTTGCAGCTTATATTTCCTTGCCCCCAAAGCCACCCTGATGAGAACACCCAATTGAATCAGGAAACTAATTTAATATTTTCCACAAGTGAGTTTCTTTGCTTCTCTAAGGCAGCCCTTGAAGAGACCCTCGAAGTCTCCCATTATAATCGCCTCCTTAAAGTCTCTGTGTCGGAGCTATGAACTCTCCAGACAAGGAAGACAATGCCTGCCACTCCCTGATATGCCAGAAGGCATTACTGATGGTGAGCAACGGAAAGCATTCTCTCTCTTCCCCTGCCAGTGAGGAAACAGGTTAGTCAGTCAAACCCAGATTGCACACGCTGTAACCATGAACGGGGTCAACAGCAGAGCTCCCAGGAATCTTCACAAAAACAGACTAAAGAAATCCTTTATTTTGGCAATTTGTGAAGAATGAATTCAGTGTCTTTAGTGATTCCTTCTTGCTATACCACCTCTCAAATTCTCTCGTTTATTAAAATATGGTAATGGTAAAAACCTGTTGCAAAAATTAAATCCTTCATGAACTGATTGAGAGCTCATTAGGTTTTAGGGAACGTATAATATAGAAACACACAAACGTACGTTTAGGGCTTTGTGAATATGAGCTATACATACACACCAACACTCAAAATACCTGTCACAGTTTTAATATCTCTGTAACTGTGAAAGGTACTGGTGTGCCGCCCAACGAGATCTGCCATTTTACTGATCCTTCCAAACAGCAAGTTCAGTGTGACGATATCCAGGAGGCTATCACATGAGAAAAGCATCTTGAATTAAGTTTGAATATATAACAAAGAAGGGGATTTTCAAAGTCTCTGTGAAGTAAGTGCTGCTGTTTAAAAACTGGGTTCATTTTACTCAATTACATTAACTAGAACCTAGTGGAATTTACTGTACAATTTTGAAAGCTTTTGTTATGAATGTGAATGGTGACTTGCATGACCAGTGTCCTCTACAGTGATCTTCATTGCTCCCTTTGAGATGGCTTGTACTGATGGTACTGGCCACTGGTGGAGAAAGGATACTAGACTACACAGACCACTGCTCTGAGCAGTGTGGCAATTCCTATATTCCTATCACATGGTCAGGGCAGCAAACCCAAGTTGCTTTAAGGGTTAGCCTTTACTAGTAGCAAATGTTAACATTTGATTTATTTTTTGTTTGTTAGAATCCTCTTTGATATTACACTGTCGTTTTCTTTACGATGAAACTCTTGGATATTTTGGGCTCAGAAGTTATCCAGCTGGACAGTTTGGACATGGACTAGGAGAAAAAAAACCCTCTCAAATGCTAGAACCCCTTCACACAACACAGCAAAAGTCTTGCTTTGTCTGAGTTAAGCATCTGAGACTTGATTCTGCCAAATGCTAAGCTCTTGGTCACAGATCCAGCAAAGCACCTGGAAGCAAAGCACCTTTATGCCTGTGCGTAGTCCAATTGATGTCATTGGGATTACTAACCTGCTTAAGTTCTTTGCTGGTCTGGGGCTAGAGTGCTCAGTACCTTACATGATGGAGCCTGATTACACAACATTTAAAAACAAGGGTCTATGTGTAAATAATAATTTAGTAAAAGAAATGATACCATTTGTAGTTCTTCCAATTTGGGGTTATTGTAGGATGTAGGATTTATGAATTTCCTCTTTTCTCCTATAAACAGAAGTGAACAATATCCATTACAATTCTCTGATGTGACTAATGCAAGTTTTCTATAACAACTGCCCTCGGTTCAATATCGCCCCATTTTGATAATTACAGCATGAAAAAGTGTACTCATTTGTAATTTTATAGATTTCCTATGAGGGAGAAAATGGCATATCAGATCATTACAATTGCCTGTTAGAAATTATCTTTCCAGGGAATTCAAATTGATGAGACCAAAGGGACACTTTCTAAAAATAAACAAAAACACAGTTTGGTTTGGTTCTTTTGTGTGAAATGTAAACCTCATTTAGAGGATTAGCTGGAACTTGCATTCACTCTTCATAACCCGCCTATGGAGAGTTGGAGACTAAATTCCATGCAATAGGGTTACTTACTTACACTTGATTGAACCTGGAAATAATGCTGTAAAACAAGTGAGATTCATTTGTGCTGAGAACTTTCATTTTTTTGGTTCTTTGGGTCCCTCCTCTCCCTCTCTTCATTGCTGGTTTATAAAACACATACCTTGAACAACGTCATTCTTAAGTGGTGAATGATGAAGCGCACTGGGCTGTGCAAAAGCAGTGAAAAAGTCTGGTTCCATTGTATTATTTTTTGCTCCTAGAAAATTGAAAAAAAAATTCAAAATGTGCTAGAGCCAGAATGAGTACTAATGAGGGAATATGCACCAAATGAAATTATTTCTTTCAGCAATTTTTGAAGTGTTTGTGGGTGACCTACTTTTAAACATGCAGCAACATATATTTAAGCAACATTAAAATTAAAATGAAGTGAATCAGTTTTTTCCTGGAGACGAAAAGCACTACAGTACTAAAAAAATGTTTTAACTCCAGTCAGTTCTGCTTAATCTGAATTAGATCAGCAAAATCCTATTGCCGTTCAGATGATAAATGCTTCAGCAGGAGACATCGGGGTGCAAATTATAAAAATTGGTCAGCACTTAACTGTTTGAGATGAATAAACCAAGAATATAGCAGATCTAGAAGACTGTATGTATTTTAGAAGGAAGTTCAAAAAAGCTCAGGCTTTGACATTTCCCTTCCCAACCACTGCTGTCCTGAAATAAAATGGGACTGACAACACACAAAGGAGAACAGACCAAAGTATCTTGTCAACATATAGAAGACTATGGAAGGGATTTTCAAAACTGGATAGGAACAGTGGGAGAGGGTAGCAGACGCCAAAGTGGGGGTGAATTGGATAGAAGCAAAGAGGGACAAAAACAGGTTAGGGGCACAGAGGCAGAAGGGTCTATAACCACTAGAGAACATTCCCCTACATCAGGGGTGGCCAACCTGTGGCTCCGGAGCCACATGCAGCTCTTCAGAAGTTAATATGCGGCTTCTTGTATAGGCACCAACTCCGGGGCTGGAGCTACAGGCTCCAACTTTCCAATATGTCCGGGGGTGCTCACTGCTCAACCCCTGGCTCTGCCACAAGCCCTGCTCCCACTCCACCCCTCCCTGAACCCTCCCCTGAGCCTGCCATGCCCTCACTCCTCCCTCTCCCCTCCCTTCCCCCTGGAGCCTCCTGCACGCCAAAAAACAGCTGATCAGGAGGTGCAGGGAGGGAGGGGGAGACACTGATTGGTGGGGCTGCCGGTGGGCGGGAGGCGCTGGGAGTGGGGGTGGGGAGCTGATAGGGGGCTGCTGACGTATTACTGTGGCTCTTTGGCAATGTCCTTTGGTAAATTCTGGCTCCTTCTCAGGCTCAGGTTGGCCACCCCTGCCCTACATCACCTGGAATTGTATCTTTCAAAAATTTAAACATATCAGGGAGAGCAGAATAAGTTTGTACACACAACCTTAATCCTAGAATTTCCTAACATTAGAATGCTTGACTTTGCAACCTTAACATTCTTTTAACGTAGGATTTTTTAAATGTAATATAAAAGGCTGAGAAAGCTAGGCTTGCTTAGTCAGGAATGGTAAAGAGTTAAAGGAGACTAAGATTTTGAAGACTATAGTTAAAAACTGAGCAGTCTCTATTTACTTTGTCCTCTAATATAAGAACAAGAGTTTAACTTATTACACTAATGGTAAGTAAATTTAAATTCACTACAGCAGGAAATCACGTCATATACTGTAACTGGATTTTAAGGGGCTGGATAATAACATTTGTAATTGTAGTATGCAAGCTAAAAATAGGGATATTAAAATCTTATACATCAGTGTACAAAATGATCATCTGCAGGGGTCAGAAAGGACTACAACTTGCATCACCACCAGACATGTATAATTATTATTGCTCATTATTTGTATTGCAATAGTCTGAGATTTGGGCTACATCATGCTAGACTCTGTACAAACACAGAGTAAGAGTCAGTTTCTGCCCCTTATAATCTAAACAAAGGGCAGGAAGGGAAACAGCATTGTATAGCTAATCAGGTGCATTCTGGAAGTGAGGGCCACAGTTCACCTTCCTTTGAAGATTCAAATCTTAGCTATTTCTGGAGGCAGAATATCAGATATCATGGATAAATAATCTGTCCAGTATTATTAATGCTATGTTCCTATGGCCTAATGGATAGAGCACTGCATAGGGACTCAGCACTGCCATGGACCTGCTGGGTGAACTTGGGCAAGTCACTACCCTTCCTGTGCCTCAGTTTTCCCATCTGTAAAATGGGGATAATGATACTGACCTCCTTTGTAAAGCATTTTGAGACCTATGGATGAACAGTGCTGTATAAGAGCTAGGTATTATTATGAAGAGGAAACACATTTCCCCTCTTACATAAAAAAAGTTCCAAGTCTCAAAAATATAGGGGAAGAAGTACATTTAAAATGGGGCACCCTTTGTTAAACATTCACATTGTGAGAACAGGAAAGCAGAATAATCAATAGGTGAGAAATCTACTGCAAACAGTATTGCACATCTGACATGGAAGACCTCTGAGGTACAGTCTCTTGCTTTGATAGCTTAAAACTCCAAATCCCTTAGAATCTCTCTCACATTTTTATCAGGGCTCCATTATAAGGAAAGTGAATGTTGCACAACACAATAGACACAAAATGCACAAAACTGCTGGAGAGAATGTATTTCATCACTATGGTTGCAAAACCAAATGCCAGCTCTGGAAATGGAGTTGGCAAGAATGAAATAATTATAAGAAATGGAGCCTTCTACTGCCTACATAAGAGTAACAACTGAACTATTTGAGGAACGCTGGACCAAGGGAAATGAAAAATATAATTAATATAGTGGAAGATTTTCATATGCACTAGTGGAAATTAGATACCTAACTTGAAATTCAATGGGGGTTAGGTGTCCAACTGCCACTTTTCCCTTTAAAAATCTTTCTCAGAACTCTTAGACGTGTGTACACTTCCTGTAATTCATACCCTATATTGCCTCAGTGGTGCTGTTCCCCCTACCTTTTATATCGGTCACTCTTCCTTTAATACTTATGGTTGAAAATAACTTGGACGGTCAACAATTCTGCTTCTCTCTAATAAAAAGTTAGTAACTAAAAACACACATGGGATATTGGGGAGGCCCCCAAAATCAGACACCACCTTTGAGACCTTGGCATCTCAGTTTCCCCATCTGTGACTTGAAGAGAGTAACACCTACCGCTGAGTGGTTGTGTGGGGATTCATTTGATAAGGACTAGAGAGAGGTTTCCTCTCAGCCCATAGTAAGGAGCATCAGGTAACTGTGCCAGCCCAGGCTCGGACTAGAGCCCGAATAGTGACTCAGTAACAGTCACCATTCGATTTCTACTTCCCCAGCCTTGTTCCTGTGAGGGAAGTAACCTGCTCTAATCTGATACCAGGTGTCAATTACTCCCCGCTCTGCACTGTCCCGTCTCCCTCGCCTCCTTCACGACAGTGTCCCCTCCCTCTTCACTTTTCTTTCCATTTAGCATACTTCCTTCCTCCTAAACCCACAAAAAGGGGTGGGGGGGGGGGGAGAACACAGCACTAAGATGACATTTGCCATTATCATACTGTTCACTCTGCTTGTGTGTTCTACCCTTTCCCCCTCCCTGCGTCTGCCTTGTCTTTTAGATTGTAAGCTTTTAAAGTCAGGGACTATCTGCTACTCTGTACAGTGCCTATTTTTGCCACTCTCTCACTTCCCAAGCCAACCTGGGTTCAGAATGCTGGGGGGCCTGGCTCCTGGGAACGTTGGCTCCTCTCATGTATTAAGGAGCTGTTTTGGCAAGCTGAAAAATCTTGGGGATCTCGCACACATTTATGATTTACGTTGGCAAGATGCTGAGCACCTACTGCTACAGGAGTTGGAGATCTCAGCATGTCACAGGAAGTACTTAGAACCACGCCAGAACAGGCCTTAAATTAAAAATTGGTGGCAGTGTACATAAATATACCCTTAGGGCTCAATCCAATGACCTGCCTAGCAGCTGAGGACGGAGGGCCTCAGCATTTCATAGGATCATTAGTTATTATCATTAAGGTGGATTCTGCATCAGGCTCCAAGTTACACTCTAGGGCAGGTGTGGCCAAACTGCGGCTCGCAAGCCACATGTGGCTCTTTGATGATTAAAGTGCAGCTCGCGAAGCCGACCACTCCCCCCATTCGGCTTCTGTCCCGTGGAGAGGTGCTGGGGTTAGGGGCTTCTGCCCAACAGCGAGGGGGGGTTTCGGGGCTTCTGCCCCATGGGAGGTGCCTGCCGTGGGGCAGAATTCCCTAGCCCTCCCAGTCCCACGCCGCTGCAGGGCAGGAACCCCGGCAGGCACGCCCCACAGGGCTTAAACCCTGAGCCCCAGCAGGCACTCCCCCCTCTCGAATTTCTGAAGATTATAGTATGTGGCCCAGCGTGTCAGTAAGTTTGGCCATCCCTGGTCTAGTGAAATGCTCAAAAACTTGATACAGTAAGTTTCAGTTCCAAACAACCCCCCAGGATGTCTGTAGACATCCCAGAAAACTGCCTGCTAAAGGTTTACATATTGCACTAACATCATGGGGGAACGTGAATGGGTTTGGAATCCTTTTTCTATTTCAGTTCCTTAAATGCGCTCGGAGAAGTATTAAGATTGGAGTTGGTCATACAGGCCTGCTGCAATGGGGCTCTGCAGACTCTCTTTTCTATTTTTCTTTTTACTTCTTTTGCTATCAGGCTATTTTCTCTGGCCTTGCATCCATGCATGCATGCATTTACTGGTACATGGAGAACAATACTTGTTTTAGTCCAGTTGCTAGAATACTGATTGCAACAATATTGTGTACTGGAATTTTAAAATTATATTGGCCTTACTCTTGACTCTTCTTGCAAAATGGCATCACTTGGTTCTGAGTTCTCAGTTATTGAGGCAATATCCTAAATTTTCTTAGATCTTGAGAAAGGCAGAAGCTATTTATTTTTCTGCATTCTGCTAGGGGTAGTCAATAAGTTTTCAGGTATGTCAAGCGTTGCTAGAATATTATAAGCTGCAATGCAACAGTTCCTTAATTGCTGAAAATAGCAGATAAGATTGTTCTGATGGCAAAATGATAATTTTGTATTAATAGTTCAAATCACCTAACTTTTTGTCTACTGTCCCTTCACAATCTTGTTCCCCAAATTTCATTGAGCTATTACATATGTTTTACTGCTCATAATGCTACCATAATTAT